TCTAGATAAGTTGATATTACTTCTTTATAGAGCCAGGGAACATTCTGCCTCATGACCACTATGACTTCCGTTCCTGGGCCTTTGCTTAACATGAGAATCCTGGGGTCATCTTAGTTTCTTTGTGTTTGCTGAGGGCTTTGTCTCCAGAGAGCAGTGTAGGTATGGCATCTGCCCTTCTTTGCTTTGTTGCACACATCTCTTGTTTCAGCTCACTTCATTTGTTCCTAACAAGTCCATCAATGCATTAAAAGTTTGTTTTAGGGATCCCAAGTGGCTCAGTGGTTTGGAGCCTGCCTTCAGCCCAGGGCATGATCCTGGAGACCTGGGATCAAGTCCCACATCGGGCTCCCTGCATGGTGCCTGCTTCTCCCTCTGCCTGTGCCTCTGCCTTTCTCCCTCTCTCTCTCTCTCTCTCTCTCTCTCTCTCATGAATAAATAAATAAAATCTTTTTAAAAAAAGTTTGTTTTATAGTTTCAGCAAGTATTTTTTTTTAAGATTTTATTTATTTATTCATGAGAGACACAGAGAGAGAGAGAGAGGCAGAGACACAGGCAGAGGGAGAAGCAGGCTCCATGCAGGGAGCCCGACATGGGACTTCATCCTGGGTCTCCAGGATCATGCCCTAGGCTGTAGGCGGTGTTAAACCGCTGAGCCACCGGGGTTGCCCAAGTATTTTTTTTTTTTTTTTGTAAGACAGGGTGCTTCTGAGTATATAGTCTCTTATATTTCCAAGTAGCATTCATTGGTCATAATAATAGGAACATTTTAAAAATATTCTGTGTTGGGATCCCTGGGTGGCGCAGCGGTTTGGCGCCTGCCTTTGGCCCAGGGCACGATCCTGGAGACCCGGGATCGAATCCAACGTCGGGCTCCCGGTGCATGGAGCCTGCTTCTCCCTCTGCCTGTGTCTCTGCCTCTCTCTCTCTCTCCCTCTGTGACTATCATAAATAAATTTAAAAAAAAAAAGAAAATATCTTAAAAAAAATATTCTGTGTTCCTGAGACCAAGAAAATACCATCACTACTTACTTGTAGGAGAGGAAACTGGGATAATGTTTCTGAAAAATACATACATCCTAGAATTCAATTCAATAATTTTACTTTTAGAACTATCTTGTGTAAGTAATTTGGAATGCCTTCAAGCATTTATTTCCTGAGATATTTATTGAAGTGGTATTTTATATAATGAAATAAACTATGCCATTTGAGCCAGCCTTTCTTTCTGATATACCTACGTAGATCCCAATCTCATACACATCTGTAGCATTAAAATGAAATAAAACCAGGGACACCTGGGTGGCTCAGTTGGTTAGGTGTCCAACTCTTGATTTTGGCTTAGGTTGTGTTCTCAGAGTCGTGGGATTGAGCCCTGAGTCAGGCTTCATGCATAGTGGAGTCTGCTTCTCTCCTTCTCCCTCTGCCCCTCCTCACATGCTGTCCTCACTCTCTCTCAAAGAAATAATAAATCTTAAAAAAAAAAAAAATAAAACCAAACCCCACATAAATCATACCAAAAGCAATGTGGAGTAAAGCAGATCATTATTAAAGATTTCTGGGGGGGATCCCTGGGTGGCACAAGGTTTGGCGCCTGCCTTTGGCCCAAGGGCGCCATCCTGGAGACCCGGGATCGAATCCCACGTCGGGCTCCCGGTGCATGGAGCCTGCTTCTCCCTCTGCCTATGTCTCTGCCTATCTCTCTCTCTCTCTCTCTCTCTCTCTCTCTCTCACTCTCACTGTGTGCCTATCATAAATAAATAAAATTAAAAAAAAAAGATTTCTGGGGAAGAGAGGGGAAGGAAGTTACCCTGTGTCTTAAACAGCAACACTTCCTTAAAGATCTTTAATACCTCTGTATTTCACAAACTCTTTCTAGAGCTTGCCAAAATTTCCATGGTGTTACTGTCACCCATTCCTTTCCTGCCCTCCAACCCTGATTCTCCTCTTCACTTCCTTCTAGCCAGAGAGAATCTCTTCCCATTTCTACATTTTTCCAAAGTTCAACTGAAGTCTTTAGTGATAGAGTTTGTTTTTTCTTTTTTCTTTTTTGTAGTTTTTCACCATCTTTATACTATTTGAACTTACAACCTAATTTATCTTTTGCCTCCTTATCTTAAAGCTAAATAACACTGAGTTCCTTATACCTTTCTTTAGATTATTATAGTTGATTTAACTTTTCTATTTTCTTTTGTAGTATCCCAAATTGAGCATCAAATTTTAAGAAGAGTGTAGTAAGGATATTACTGCCTTGTCTTTAGACATATTACACCCGTTCATCTCACTGTATGGCAACACTGTTCATGTTGTATGTAGGAAACATATACATTTCGTTATCTTTTTTTAAAAATGTTCTTGATAATAGTTGAAGATGTGAAAATCTTGGGCTTTTTTTTTTGTTTGTTTTTCTTTGGTTATTAAATTTTTTTCCTGGTCTGTGTATTTATACTGAGGTACAGGTGAATTATGTGGGAAAATGGCTCCCACATTAATAATAGGGCATAATTTGTCTCAGTATACACCCCAAACTTGGACATAGTTTTTTTAAAAAACAACCTTTTGGGATCCCTGGGTGGCGCAGCGGTTTGGCGCCTGCCTTTGGCCCAGGGTGCGATCCTGGAGATCCGGGATCGAATCCCACGTCGGGCTCCCGGTGCATGGAGCCTGCTTCTCCCTCTGCCTCTGTCTCTGTGCCTCTCTCTCTCTCTCTCTGTGACTATCATAAATAAATAAATTAAAAAAAATAAATATAAAACAACCTTTTGGGTACCTATGTGGCTCAGTTGGTTAAGCATCTGCCTTCGGCTTAGGTCATGATCCCTAGGGTTCTAAGATCAAGTCCCCATGCTTGGCAGGGAGTCTGCTTCTCCCTGTACTCCTCCTCCCTGCTTGTGCTCACTCTTTCTGTCTCTCATAAACATTCTCTCTCATGCTCATTCTCTCAAATAAATAAAATCTTAAAAAAGAACAAGCGAAAAACAAAAATAACATTTTGCCTGGGGAGCTTTGGGAAGTATGCTGTCTTTAAAAAGCATATATGTTGGATTTTTCACTTCATATGAAATCACTGTTATTCTCACTTTTTGTTCTGTTTACAGCTATGCACATAAATATCTGATGTGCAGAGACATGGAGATCAGAAAAAAACATAAAATGAACTTCCAGAGAATACAGAATTAGACACAGGTCCACCAGGAAAGGATAGGCTTTTGAATGTGAAAACCTTTATTTAATTGAGGTATAAATGACATGCTAATTTCAGATTTAGAACATAATGACTTGATAGTTGCATTATAGTGTGAAAAGATCACCACGATAAGTCTAGTTCACATCCATCACCATATATAGTTAGAACATTTTTTTTTCTCATGATGAGAATTTTTTAAGATTTACTCCTTCAGCAACATTCCAGTATATAATACAATATTATTAACTAATCACCGGGCTACACATTACATAGCTATTATTTATTTTATAACCAGAAATGTGTACCTTTTGAACCCCTTTACCTATTTTGCACCCCCACCACCTCTGGCAACCACCAAGTCTGGTCTATCTGTGAGCTGGGTTTTTATGTCTTTTTGTTCTTTAAACCCAACATAGAAGCAAGATAATACAGTATTTGTCTTTCTCTGTCTTATTTCACATGGCATAATGTCTGTAAGGTCCATCCATGTTATTGAAAATAAAAAACAGCAAGATTTCATTTTTTTGATGGCTGATTAGTATTCTAGTGTGTGTGTGTGTGTGTGTATTGCATTTTCCTTACCATTTATCCATTGATGGACACTTAAGTTGTTTCTGAGTCTTGGTTATTATAAATAATACAATGAACGTGGGGTTACATCTTTGAGGTAGTGGTTTTGGGTTTCTTTGTTTTTGTTTTTTGTTTTTGTTTTTGTTTTTGTTTTTTTCAGATAAAATACCCAGAAGTGGCATTGCTGGATCATTTGGTGGTTCTATTTTTAATCAGGGGTGGGGGGGAACCTCCATACTATTTTCCATAGCAGTTGTACCAATGTACCAATTTACATGGAATGTGAAAACTTTTAACTTTCAAGGGGATATAGATGTTAACAAAGGCCCTGAATATCTGTGGGTATTATAAAGTTATTTGTGTGTGTATACATACGTATATATATAAATTATGTATATTGTATCTTTCTCAACTTTAGATGGGGTTACTCCTGATAAACCCATCCTAAATTGAAAATAATAAGTTGAACATCTGAAACTAATATAAACTATATAACACTGTATGTAAACTATACTGGAATTAAAATAAATTTTTTAAATCAAAAAATAAAAAATATATATTCCTTCTATACCAAAAAAAGCAAATATCATAATTTGAAATTCATTTGATATATCTAACATACTGAACATCAGAACTTATCTTGGCCTACCTTAAATGTGCTCAGAACACTTACATTAGTCTGCAGGTGGGCAAATGATCTAACACAAAGCCTATCTTATAATTAAGTATTAAATATCTCATGTAATCTATTGAATACTGCACTGAAACTGAAAACAGAATGGTTTTATGGGTACAGAAGGTTGCTTATCTATGATCACATGGCTGAGAAAGAGCTGTGGCTTGTTGCTGCTGCCCAGCATCACAGAAGAATATTGTATTGCATATCACTAGCCCAGGAGAAAATCTACATCAAAATTTGAGGTACAGTTTCTGCTGAATGTGTATCTCTTTTGCATCATTATAAAGTAAAAATTTGTAAGTCAAACCAGTGTAGGGGACCTCTGTGTAAGTAGGGGACCATCTATGCACACAAATATACATGTTTACACACACAAATGTGATTTTTATATATGGTTCTTTAAATTTTTTACATCTCGCCTTTATGTGTATTTTTTTTTTTGCCTTTATGTGTGTTATTAACAGATTTGGCCAATTGAACACTTAGGCTGAATCATTATAAAATGTAACAGTAAATAAGCTTGCTAAATTTCTCCTTGTTCAGTTTATCCTTTATGTGCTTGTGTTTCAGCAGCTGAAGATCACAAGGAAAGACATTTTCAAATAAGAGAGTTTGGAGCACCTCAGTTTTCTAACTCTGAAAATGGTAAGAAATTATAATTTCATCATATATACAGATAATTTGTTATTTAAAATTCTTTAGTTTTAATTTAATAATTATTTCCTTAACAAAACCTGTATAGGTCTCTACACAGGGATGCAGCCCTGTACTTCTATTTTGTAGCACATCACAATGGAAATGAAGTCATTATTTGTTTTGTATGTGCAGACCTTTGTCCAAACATTTCTGTATAACTGTGAGGACTGGTAGGATGGTGTCTGTCTCACTGTGTGCTGTACTTTCACTCTCCAGCAATTGTAGACCGTCAGTAAATGCTACCTTGAATATTTTTCCCAATCAATTATCATTTGTCTGACTTTTCATGTAGTTGTTTCTTGCTATGTAAATTTAAAAAATAATTTTATGTAGCCAAATTTATGAATCTTTTCTTTTATTGGATCTTTTTTTTTGTCTTATGAGAACCCAGATTAGAAGAGTTCATTTATACTGTCTTCTAGCATTTGTATACTTTTATTTTTTACATTAGATCCCCAATTCACTTGGAGTTTATTTAGCCATATGGTATTAGCAGTGGATTAAATGTTATCATTTCACAAGTGGCTGTGCTTTTATATCATTTTTTTAAAATGCTACCTTTGCCACAGCAATTTGAGATAGCTTCCAAACATATATAAGGTTTCTATATGTACTTGGGTCTCTTTCTGGATTTTCTTTATATTTCATTGATGTTTGCATGCACCAGTTCCACATGGTTTTAATTATAGAAAGTTTCTTTTGTGTTTTATATCTGGTAGGGCTAGTATCCTTTTTTTTTTCAATATTTTCTTAGCTATTCTTGCACGCTTATTTTTTAATATAAACTTTCTATAATATTGTCTAGCTCTATAGAAAGGCTCATTGTTCCTCTTTTTTTTTTTTTTAAAGATTTTATTTATTAGAGAGAGGGTGAACATGAGCAGGGGGAGGGGCAGAGAGAGAAACAGGTTCCCGGCTGAGCAGATCATGATCTGCTACATGATCCCCTGGGATCATGACCCAAGCTGAAGACATATGCTTACATGATTGAGCCACCCAGGTGCCCCTCGTTGTTCTTCTTATTGTGATAACATTAAGTGAGAAAACTGACAGTTTGATGGTGCTGAGACATCCTAACTAGAAACAAGGGACATTTTTCTATTAAAATTTCCTTGTGTATCTTTTTTTTTTTAAGATTTTATTTATTTATTGAAGAGAGATATATAGAGAGAAAGAGAGAGGCAGAGGGAGAAGCAGGCTCCATGCAGAGAGCCTGACGTGGGACTCAATCCCAGGTCTCCAGGATCACACCCTGGGCTGAAGGTGGCGCTAAACCACTGGGCCACTGGGACTGCCCATCCTTGTGTATCTTTTATATAGTTTTTTTCATATAGGTTTTGAGCAGTTTTTGTTATTTCTTTTTATATTTTTGTTGCCATTATAAATATTTTCTTTTAATATATGTATTTCTTTTCATATACATATATATGTGTAATATATATATGTGTGTGTATATTTTTCTTAAGTAATCTTTATGTTATGCCCAACATGGGGGTCCAGCTCACGACCATGAGATCAAGAGTTGCATGCTGTGTACCAACTGAGCCAGCCAGGTGCCCCTTTTCCAGTATATATATATATATATATATATATATATATATTTTTTTTTTTTTTTTTTAAGATTTTATTTATCCATTCATGAGAGACAGAGAGAGAGGCAGAGAAACAGGCAGAGGGAAAAGCAGGCTCCATGCAGGGAGCCCAATGCAGGATCCAATCGCGGGACCCCAGGATCATGCCCTGGGCCAAAGACAGGTGCCAACCCGCTGAGCCAGGGATCCCCCTCCATTCTATTTTTAACTGGTTATTATTTTGTGTATATAAATGCTATTGATATTTTGCATGTTACTATACTATGCTGCTACCTTGCTGATTTTTTTTTAGCTTGACCTCAGGACCCCAGGATCATGACCTGAGCCAAAGGCAATTATTTCATTTTTCTTCTTAAATGTATTAATATGATGAACTATATTATTAGGTCTCCTGATAATCACACCATTTTTGCATTCCAGTTATAAACCCAGCTTTGTCATTGTGCATTAATTTGATGATGTTTTATTTACTATTTTTGCATTGCTATTGATTTCTCTGTGAAAACGTTTAGACCTGGTACTTTTTGTGTTTTCTTCTCTATGAAAATTGGTCTATTTAAACTTATTATATATACTGGGATCAATTTTAGTAAATTTTATTTTTCTCAAATTATTCATTTTGTCTAGATTATCAGATTTATTTGCATAGATTTATATAAAATCTCTGCTTTTTAGCAGCTTTATTGAAATAGGTTTAAAAAATTACCAATTGTAAATTAACAAATGTAAAATTCAGTGATTTTTAGTAAATGTATAGAGTTGTGCATCTATCACCAAAATCTCTCATACTTGTTTACAGTACTCACTCTCACTCTCAGGCCTAGAAGATTACTAATCTGATTTCTGTCTCTATAAATTTCCCTTTCGTGGACTGAAATTATACAAAAGGTAGTATTTTGTGTTTGATTTTATAGGTCTTCCATTAAACCTAATGTTTTTCTAGATTCATCCATGTTGTTGCAGAAAGCAGTTCATTAGTCTTTTTTCTTAAATTTTTCATTGTAAAATACATGTAAAATTTGGCATCCTGTTTCAAGCATATAATTCAGTGGTATTAAATACATAATATTATGCAACCATCACCACCATCCAACTTTGTAACTCTTTTCATTATAAAACTGAAAGTCTGTATCCATTAAACAGTAATTCCCCATTCCCCCACCTCTGCCCAGTCCCTGACACCCAACATTCTTCTATCTCTATGATTTTGACTACGCCAATTACCTCATCTCTATGAAATCATAAAGTATTTGTCTTTTTGTGACTGGCTTATTTTGCTTAGTATAACATCCTCAAGGTTCATCCATATTGTGACATATTGCAGAATTTTCTTCCTTTACAGGGCTGAATAATATTACATTGTATGTATACAGCACATTTTGCTAACTGTGGTTCATTACTTTTTATTCATGAATGTGTATTCCATTGTATGGATATACCACATTATATTTATCCATTTACGGTAGATGGATGTTTGGATTGTTTTTGGGTTTTGGCTATTATAATGTTGTTATGAACATTCAAATACTTCTCCAATATGGACATAAGATTTCACTTTTCTTGGTTAGATTCCTAGGAGTGGAATTGCTAAGTTATATATAGGGTAAATTTGAGTTTACTTTTTAAGGAACTGCCAAATTGTTTTTCAAAGTGGCTTTACTACCATTTCATTCCCATTAGCAAAGAATGAGGTGTCTAGTCTTCCACATCTTTGTCAGCATTTGGTATTGTCTTTTTAACATGTATATTTTAGTGCTTGTAATTTGTGGCTTTAATTTGGATTTCTCCAGTGATTTATGATGTTGAGTATTATTTCCTGTGTTTATTGGCTATTCATATATCTTCTTTGTTGACAAATCTATGATTTGTCTATTTTTTAATTGGGTTATTGATCTTATAATTAGATTGTAAGATTTCTTTATTCTTGGTACAAGTTCTTTGTCAGACATGAATTATAAATATTTTATCCTAGTCATCTTATTTTCTTGATTTTTGCCTCTTGAAACACAGAATTTTAAAAATTTTATGAAGTTCAACTTACCATTGTTTTTTTCTTCTATGGATTGTTCTTTTGGTATCAAATCTAGAAACTCTCCCTACCTATAGGTCTCAAAGATTTTCTATGTATTTGTGAAGTTTTTAATTAATTAATTAAATAATTTATTAATTAATTTATTTATTTATTCATGAGAGAGAGAGAGAGAGAGAAGTAGAGACACAGGCAGAGGGAGAAGCAGGCTCCATGCAGGGAAGCTCAATGTGGGACTCGGTCCCTGGACTCCAGGATCATACCCTGAGCCAAAGGCAGGTGATAAACCGCTGAGCTACCAAGGGATCTCCTGAAGTTTTTAATTTTAGCTTTTTATGTAGGACTATGATCATTTTGAGTTAATTGGTATGTATGGTGTGAGGTAGGTAAGTTTTTTTAGTTTTAATTTTTGTTTTTGTCTCTTGCATATGCACATCCAGTGCCATTTATTGAAAGGACATTCCTTTCTCCTTTGAATTTTCTTGGCATTTTTGTTAAAATCAAGTGACCAGAAAAAAATAAAAAAATTAAGGTTATGTTTCTGGATTTTAGTTTCTATTCCACTGATCTGTATACCTATCTTTAGCCAGTACCATACTATCTTGATTTCTGTCGCTTTATACTGAATTTTAAAAATAGGTAGTGTAAATCCCACAGCATTGTTCTTTTTCCAAAATTGTTTTAGCTCTTCTAACTCCTTTACATTTCCATATAAATTTTACAATCATCTTGTCAACTTCTATCCAAAAAAGCTACTGGGATTTTGATAGGTATTGTATTGAATTCATACATCAGTTTTGGAGTTAATTGCTATCTGGACATTATTGACTCTTCCAATCTATGAATGTGAAGATTTGCTTTTTATCTCTGCTTTTAGTGGTTTGCCTGTGGTGTATGTAGATATGGATCTCTATACATTGAGAGTATATTGAAGTTTTCAACAAATTTGGAGATTATCCATTATTTCTTCACATTCTCCCCCTCCGACCCTTTTGAGACTGTTAATTGTGCGTATACTGGTACTTTTGATGTTGGCCCACCATTTCACTGAGATACCGTGCATTTTTTTTATTATTCTTTTTTCTTCTCTCAGTTCTTTAGGTTGTATAATCTCGGTCAGTCTATCTTAAAGTTAGCTAATTCTCTCTTACACTAGTTCAGATCTACTGGTGATCCTCTCTAGTGAATTTTTCATTTGTAATTATACTTTCCAACTTCAGAATTTCCATATGGTTCTTTTTTAATAATTTTGAACTCTGTTGATATTCTCTATTTGATGCAACATTATCATCACACCTTCCTTTGCTTTTTTAAGATTGCTTTAACAATTTTTCAGGTTTATTGAGGCATAATTGATAAATGAAATTGTAAGATTGCTAAAGTGTGCTGATATATGTATACTTTGTGAAAGGATTCTCTCCATGTAGTTTAATTAACATACCTATCAACTCACTTCGTTTACTTTAATCATACTATCTTTTAGTTCTTTGAATATATTTGTAAGTGTTACTTTCAAGGTTTTGTCTGTTAAATCTAATAATTCAGTTTTCTCTCACAGGCAGTTTGTGTTGCCTGCCTTCTTGCCATGGTATTTCATACATTCCTGTTTGTTGTTTGTTTGTTTTGGCCTACCATGTTTTTGTTGGAAACTGTACATTTTAGATGATACATTTTATTTATTATTTTTTTTAATATTTTATTTATTTATTCATGAGATACACAGAGAGGTGGAGAGAGAGGCAGAGACACAGGCAGAGGAAGAAGCAGGCTCCATGCAGAGAGCCTGACTTAGGACTCGATTCCAAGTCTCCAGGATCACGCCCCGGGCGGAAGGCAGATGCTGAACCGCTGAGCCACCCAGGGATCCCTAGATTATACATTTTAGCAACTTTGGTTACTGGTCCTCCCCTCTGGGGCTTGCTATTATTATTTGTTTGCTTTATTTGTTTACTGACAGGCTGGATTATTTCAGTGGAGTCTATTCCCTACCCTACCCTTCCTTCAGCCCCCAACAGTATAACTCCTTATGGGATACAGACTTATGTATACCCACAGTCACCCTGGGATGACAGTTGTTTTGGAAGGGCTCTCTCTGACAGTCTCTTTCCCTGATCACACCCAGTTAAATTCCACTAATTTCAGCAGATTTCTTCATTATTTTTAAGAATGCTCTGGATTGTAAATTGTTCTATAGACAAAACCAATAAAATTTGGACTCCTTTGAGAGGACATTTCCCAAGGTCAGTGTTTGAGATTTGTTCTTTCCCTATCGAAGCAGGCTCTTCTTCCCTACTGGCTTTTTTTTTTTTTTTTAAGATTTTATTTTTTTATTCATGAGAGACACAGCGAAAGGGGTGGGGGGAGGGCAGAGAGGCAGAGACACAGGTAGAGGAAGAAGCAAGCTCCATGCAGGGAGCCTGATGTGGGACTCAATCTCCGTCTCCAGGATCACACCCTGGGCTGAAGGTGGTGCTAAATCACTGAGCCACCCGGGGTTCCCCCCCCACCACCACTGGCTTTTTCAGCCAAACTAGTTGGCCCACAATTTAACTTATATGTCCAATGACTCTACTGGTCTCTTCCCAGTTGCTCTTCACCACAACCTTCCCTGTTTTAAAGAGCATCCTTAGGCTTGAAATTCTCTTTTTAAAAAAATTTAAATACTTTATTTAAATTCAAATTGCCAATATATCGTATAATATTCAGTGCTCATCCCATCTAGTGCTCTCCTTAGTGCGCATCACCCAATCCCCCCATCCCCCCATCCGGCTCCCCTTCTGCAGCGCTTTGTTTAGGAATTTTTTTGTGAGTTAGGAATTTCCCCACACACTGTTGCAAATGAAGTCAATTCTTTGGGAAGTATTTGCAGCTATCTACTTGATAATCAGCTTCTCCCTCTAAGCCAAATCTCTGAGTCAGGGTTTTATCTCTAGGTGGAAACGGTGACATATTTCTGTGTAAGATCCTTGCTCTAAGAGTGGAGTGTGAAGTGAGGAAGGTGATAGTCTTAGGTCTTTTGGCTTGCCTCTTACTGAATGAAACTACCAAGTTATGAGCAGAATCAAGTGACCCAGGGCCCCTGTATTCTCAGCACGCCACACCCGAATCAGAGTCTCCATTTTATGACTGTGGTCTTGTGATCTGGTTGGGAAATGGGAACTTGCACCTTTTGACTGCACTGCCCAGACTTAGCCAACAAGTAACTGAGGACAGGACAGGAAATACTGACATCCTGCCCTTCCTGGGAACAGAACTGGCTGAGAGCTGGGAGAAGAAGAGAGCCTTATGTTTTCAGCCTTTTCAGCACACAGGGCTAGAGGGGAATTTCCATTGTGCTGAATTGGGAGGGGAGTAGGAAGGGAGTGATTCCTAGTTCAAATACCAGAATCTGAATTTTAATAGATTGTCTTGAACAAATGTTTCCTCATGTGTGTCCTTGGAACAATTTCTAGGACTTATGGTTGTTTTTTAAACAATTTTCATCAATTATTTAAAAACTGGTGTGCATGTCCATAGATGTCCTCACTCTATCATGCTGGAAGCCTTTTTCATTTTTATCAATAAAGGTGTTTAGGATTTTTTTTTCTGTTTATTGCTATTTAAGTATCCCATGGATTATACTATGAAATGCCTTCTTTATCATTATATTTCAAAAATTCCATTCCTCTTTCAACAACAGTTGAAAAACCTTTTTTTTTCATTTTTAAATTATTTCATTTTATGGCATAATCAGAGCATGTTGTCTGTAATGTTTCTACTTTAAGAAACTCACTGATTTTTATGTGTGTATGTTAGTATAATTTTTGTGAATTTTCAATGTATGCTTGAGAAAAAGTATGTTTTCTAATAGGTTTTGTATATATTCAAAATAACTCTTGTTGATTATGCTTTTTTTTTTTTTAAGATTTTATTTATTTATTCATGAGACACAGAGACGGGGGGGGGGGGGGGGTGGCAGAGACACAGGCAGAGGGAGAAGCAGGCTCCATGCAGGGAGCCTGACATGGGACTCCATTCCGGGTCTCCAGGATCATGCCCTGGGCTGCAGGCCGTGCCAAACTGCTGCGCCACTGGAGCTGCCCTTTATGCTTTTTAGATCTTTTAGATCTTTTGTCTTTTTGGCCTAGTTTTTACTGAGAGTGATATATTAAAAGCTACTATTCTTTACTGAGAGTGGTATATTAAAGTCTACTATCATTAGTTTCTGTTTGTCTTTGCATTCCCTGTATTTTCTGCCTTTCATAGGTGGGTGTTTCATTATTTCACACTTAGATATTCATAACTGTTCTGTCTTCAGGGTGAAATGTGGTCATTTTGATCTATGGCCTACTCAATTAGAAATAATTTCTCATAAACTTCCAATCAATTTAATTGTTCACTATAAATTATGTTTAGGGGCAACTGTTGGCTCAGTTAATAAGCATTTGCCTTCAGCTTTCAGGTCATGATCCCGGGGTTCTGGGATCAAGCCCCACATCTGGCTCCCTGCTCAGCTGGGAGGCTGCTTCTCCCTCTGCCACTCCCCCTGCTTGTGTTCTCTCTCTCACTTGCTCTCTTTCAAAAAAATAAATAAAATCTGGGATCCCTGGGTGGCTTAGCGGTTTGGCCAGCCTCCTGTGGCCTGGGGCGCGATCCTGGAATTGCTGGATCGAGTCCTACGTCGGGCTTCCAGCATGGAGCCTGCTTCTCCCTCTGCCTGTGTCTCTGCCTCTCCCTCTCTCTCTCTCTCCCTCTGTGTGTCTATCACAAATAAATAAATCTGAAAAAGAAACTAAGTTCTATTATAAAAATAAATGAATGAATAAAATATAAAAATAAAATGTTAAAATTTTTAAAAATTATGTTAAGGTGTGAGAACAGTGAAACAACTTTGATTTGCCCTATGTCCTACTCTCATTTCTTTAAAAAGAAAAAAAGCCATTCTATTTTTATTTTCACTCAACAGTTGCAAAAGATTTACCCATAGATTCACTGGAAGATGATTTTGAGAAGGAATTCTCATTTCTCAACAACCTCCTAAGTCCTGGTTCTTCAAGTACTGGTGAATTTACCCAAGAATGCCAGACTGCCTTTGGGAGCCCCGGCACAAGCTTCATGTCGCAGGAGCCTGCCGTGGGGTCTGAGCCTCTTGCTCATTCTTCAGGATTCCTTCCTTCACAGCTCTTTGACCTTGGCCTTCATGCTGCTGGAGCTTTCAACAGTAAGTACTTATGAAACATTTGGACAGCCAGAATTATTTTATCTTTGTGAAGCAAAACTATGTGTATGTGGATGCTAAAATTAACCAGGATATTGATTTTAACTTCAATACTACTAGATAAAATCTGTCTCGCCCACCAAAAAATATTACTACTGTTGATGTATTGGCAAGGGTGAAACAAGGGCTGCTTTCTTGCTGCCTCCACCAAACCCCACTCTTTGACTTTCCCAGAAGTCTTCTCTACATAGAAAATCAGGGTCTTATTTTAAACTCTTGACTTGCTGAGTTACCTCTACGTAGGGCAGGTGATACTATTTCTTCCATCTAGCAAAGCTTGGTGTGTTCTCTTCCCATGAGTTCAGAGTAGACAACGATAGTTTCACGACAGCCTCCTGGGCAAGGCAGCAGGACTGGAGGATTGTGGTAGAAACCTGGGCAGGGTGTTTTCCAAAGGTGCTTTGTTTCTATGTCAGGGACTACCTCTACTGACCTACTGTCCCACCAGCCTGCATCCAACCCCGCACCTTGGGAGTCATTTTGCTCCCCACTTCCATATTGATTACTAAGATCTGTCGATTCTGTTTCTAAAACATTTCTAATTTCACACTCCTCCTCTCTAACTCTATTACCAGAGGCATTTGGAGCTTTATTTGGTTTCCTGGGCTGCTGCAAGAGTCCTCCTACCAGGCCTCCCAAGCCCCAGGCCACCTCTTCCATGCTTTCCCCAGAGTTCTTTATCCAAGCGGCAGATTCTGATGTTAGCACTCTGCTTACATTTTAAAAAAATGAGGGACCATGGCTCCAGGATATAACTTGTTCCTCCATTTCCACTCTTACCTCTTAACTTACTTCAAAATACTTAACCATTTTCTATAACTATATTGACTATTTTCAGATCCCTCTGAGACATCATTGTTTTGCCACTTACGTTTGCCTTACGTGATGTTCAGTAATGGAGGTAGACTTGAGCCTGTGTGTTAGATTCCTAGGCCAGTGTTTTCTGCATGGTGGCCAAGTCTTGAATAGTACTGCCTGATGCAGTTGGTTTTTCTCCCTGTGGCCTCCCATAGTACTCTCTCTGTTTTCATGACTAATTTTAGCTAATTTCATGGCTAATTGTAATTGTAGTTCATCTTGCCTTCTGTCCCTGTCTTCCATCTCCTAGTAGATTTTAACCCTGAGAAAATGGTTGACAGCACCTAAAAGTGTATTGATACCTTGTACTTGATATTAAAATACTTATGTTCATATTAAATCTGCAAGACCATCATACTTTATCCAATCTGTAAGCCCCTCAAGGGCACAGCCTATGAGGTGATTTATCTTTGTGCTTTCTATGGCAGCAGCATAAAGTTAGTTCAATAGGTAAAATAGCGGTTAAATAATCACTCTAATAATTTGTTAAATAACCTAAAAGTAAGAATGGACAGTGTTATTCGATAAAGAGGCACTCTATCTAGGATAATTCAAATGTTTTGCTATAAAATTTTAAAAAACAACTATTCTCATATGCCATATCAGTGGCCTAAAAGTTACAAAGATTTACGCACAGATTCATTCTCCATATGAAATCCTACTGTCCTTTCTCCTTAACTTCCCACATCTCTAGCAGCACTGGATTTTTTTGTTATTTTCTGGCAGTATATCATCAACAATATTTCTTCACCACTCAGAGCATCTCTTCTGGTCCCTGCCTGCTGGCTGACAGGATATTCCCATGCAATGGCTGAGGCACTTAGTACTTAGTGTGTAACGAGTGCCTTGCTTAAGATCACCAGGCAGTTTAAACAATTAAGAAGGAACCAAAATCTGGTCTTCTGCCTCCTAGTACAGGACTCTTCCTGTTTCACTAGCCTTTTCTTTATGGCTACTCCTCATTTTCCTGCAATGTAAACCAGGAAAGTGAGCTGTGTGGAGTTAAAAGATCTATGTTCTAGAAACCCTAAGTAAGAACATAGGCTTCAAATAATCTCTTCTGTACAAGAAAGGTAGCAGGCAGGATAATCTAAGTTTTTTTCTGGTGCTGTATTTGAATTACAGCCTAAATAATTTCTCATGTTACAGCAAACATTTCACGGTCTTAGTAATAGAGTATTCATAATGATACTTTTTAATGACTGCATAGTATTTTGTCACATTTATCTCCCATAATCTGCTTAATTCATTCCTGTTAAGATTTTTTCATTTTATAGATAATGCTGCAATAAACAATCATACATGTATTTTTTTTCTTCACTTAAATTATTTCCTTAAGATAAATTTCTAGGAATAGGATTACTAAATCCAAGGGTATAAACATGCTTAAAGTTTTCAATATTCTAATTGTCAGATCTATTTCCTCTTGCCCAGCTTCTTAGAAATTCTCTTTCTATACCTTATCTGTGTGCATTGTTTAAAAAGAAAACTTGTATATTTATTTCAAAACCATTTTGAAAACTGTAGGGAAGTCTAAACTTAGATGATCTGACTAAAATACTTAATTGCAGATATATTTTAAGTGTCTTCTATGTCTTATATTGTAGAATCGCATCCTGATAGAAAGATCTGAGGATTCATTAGATATTTTTGCCTTTTCTTATTTTTTTTGATGCTATTTTTTACTTGACTAACTGACAATGGATACTTCCCTCCCACAGGCTGGGCCTCCCAAGGGGGATTAGAAGTTCCTCTTCCACACACTGATGACCAGCCAGTGCCTTCACAGAGTACAAAGAAATTAACAAAGTGTAAGTTATTTATTTATATTCTTTGCCATCATATTAACAATCAGTTGAATTCAGATAAATTTAGAAAAGGATTATGTTATAGTCTTGGCCTCATATTGTTCAGAAAAATATTTTGTTAATAATGAATTAAAATTAAAGTTTTAGGGGCATCTGACTGGCTCAGTTGGTTAAGCGTCCAATTCTGGATTTTGGCTCACGTTGTGATCTCAGGATTGTAAGATTGAGGCCTATGTCAGGCTCTGCTCTCAGTGGAGTCTGCTGGAGATTCTCTCTTCTTCTCCTTCTGTCTCTCCCCCACATGCACTCATTCTCTGTCTAAAATAAATAAATCTTTAAATAAATAAGTTGGGCAGCCCTGGTGGCGCAGCGGTTTAGCACCGCCTGCAGCCCAGGGCGTGATCTTGGAGACCCAGGATCGAGTCCCATGTCGGGCTCCTTGCATGGAGCCTGCTTCTCCCTCCCTCCCTCCCACCTGTGTCTTTGCCTCTCTCTCTCTAGCTGTGTCTCTATGAATAAATAAATATAAATAAATAAAAAAATCTTAAAAAAAATAAAAAATAAATAAGTTATACTTGGCTACCCCTCATCATGGAAAAAACTGGATAAAACTGTGGGCTTGTCATAGTAAACTAAATTTTGTACTTTAATTTTTTATGTTTTGTGTTAAGATTTGTTGGTAATGGATAATACCATTAGGGATAGAAGGTATTCTTTGATTACAAGATGTCTGTTGACAAACAGTACATTAGGCATTTAGCAAAGAGCCTGGCATATAGTAATTGCTAACATTTATTGAGTACTCACCATATTGTTATCTGCAAAACTGGGCCATATTGTAATTACCATGTAGGATATGCATAGCAAGTTGACACTGTCAGGGTTTTAGATACATAATAATCTTAGTCACTGATGTTGATTATTAAAAATTTTAATTAGAAAGAATTTCAAATGTACAGAAGCGTTGCATAAGTGAAAATAGCACAAATATGTGTATGCCCTTTATCTAGATTCATTTACTGTTAGTATTTTGCTTTATATAGTCTTATATATGTATGTATGTGTGTGTCTAATGCATGTGTCATTTTATTCTGAACCACTTGAGGGTGAGTTACATACATCATGATCATTTACCCCAAAATACTTCAGTTTGTATTTCATAAGCACTGGTATATTCTCTTGCATAACCACAGTACAGTTGTAAACCTCAGGAAATTTAATATTAACGTAACACTTTTTCCATTATCTATCATATATTTGTATTCTAATTTTGTGAGTTGACCCAGTAGTATCTCTTATAGCACTTTCCTCCTCTGGACATTGAGTCTAGGGTCATGTATTCAAGTTGCCATGTCTCTTTAGCCTCTTTTAATCTGAAGCATTTACATAGCTTTTCTTTGATTTTTTTAACATGGGCATTATAATAGAATATAGTCCCTCTGTTCCAATGTTCTTTATTTTTCATGGAATATTCTTTATTTCAGTTTTATCTGAATTTTATTGTGATTAAATGCAGGTTCTTCATTCTTGCCTGGAGTACTGCACAGGTGACACTCCTGTCTTAGGGTTTCACATCTGAAAGTTGATCCTGTCCATTTCTTCCTCATTGATGATGTTAATTTTAGCCACCCTTTCAAAGTCTTGTTCAATTTTTCTCCTAAATAATTACTATTTTATATTTTTTGTCCTCTCTTGCAATTACTAAGCAATCTGTGATGAAACACTTTGTGATTGTGCACAAGTCCAGCTCATCATCAGAATTTCTTTTTTTAATCATTTCTTTTTTAAAATTTTTATTTATTTATTCATGAGAGACACAGAGAGAGGCAGAGACACAGGCAGAGGGAGAAGCAGGCTCCATGCAGGGAGCCTGATGTGGGACTCAATCCTGGGACTCCAGGATCACGTCCTGGGCCAAAGGCAGGCGCTAAACTGCTGAGCCACCCAGGCTGCCCCAAGGAGAACAATTTTTTTTGAAGATCCATGTCTAATTACTGTATATGGTTAAGGATGTCCCTTAAAAGACATTGAGACAGAGACATAGGCAGAGGGAGAAGCAGGCTCCATGCAGGGACCCCGACATGCTACTCGATCCCAGGTCACCAGGATCATACCTTGGGCTGAAGGCGGTGCTAAACCGCTGAGCCACCCAGGCTGCCCCCTTTTTTTTTTCTTTTTTAAAAAAGAATTTATTTATTTATTTATTCATGAGAGAGACACAGAAACATAGGCAGAGGGAAAAGCAGGCTCCCCATGGGGAGCCCTATGTGGGATTCGATCCCACGATCCCAGGGTCACACCCTAGCCAAAGGCAGACGTTCAACCGCTAAACCACCCAGACGTCCCTTGTCATCAAAATTTCTTTTTTTTCTTTTTCTTTTCTTTTTTTTTTTTTTTTGCAGGCTCCATGCACCGGGAACCCGATGTGGGATTCGATCCCGGGTCTCCAGGATCGCGCCCTGGGCCAAAGGCAGGCGCCAAACCGCTGCACCACCCAGGGATCCCATCATCAAAATTTCTACTTAGAGTTAGCATGCATTGTTACTTTTTGTCTAATTCAGTCTTCACTATAAGGGATGGTGAAAAATGATGATTTTCTAACCACAGCACTCCCTTCACATTTTTACTGTAGTAGAAAACACTTGACAAAATTTACCACCTTGGGCAGCCTGGGTGGCTCAGCAGTTTAGCACCGCCTTCGGCCCAGGGAATGATCCTGGAGACCCAGGATCAAGTCCCATGTCGGGCTCCCTGCATGGAGCCTGCTTCTCCCTCTGCCTGTGCCTCTGCCTCTCTCTCTCTCTGTCTGCCTCTTATGAATAAATAAATAAAATATTTAAAAAAAAATTACCACCTTAACCATTTTCAAGTGAACAGTTCAGTAATGTTAAGTATATACATAGTGTTGTGAAACAGATCTCCAGAGCATTTTCATTTGCAAATCTGAAACTTTATACTCATTTAACAAATCCTTTTTCCCCTTCCCCTGCTAACCACCATTATAGTTTCTGTTTCTATGAATTTGACTACTCTAGGTACCTCATATAAGTAGAATCATACAGTATTTATCTTTTCATGACTGGCTTATTTCATTTAGTATTTTCTCTCTTTCTAAGGTTTAATAATATTCCATCGTGTGGATATACTACATTACTACCTTTTTTTTTAAACCTACTTAGCTTAAGTTTAAAATACTACAATATTAAGTAGCCTTATTGACGTATAATTCACATTCCATACAGTTCACTTCAGCCAGACCTCAGTACTCTGCTGTAAACAAAAGAACTCTCTTCTTCCCCATTTTTGTATTATCTATATGAACTGATACTTTTTCTATTTATAATATTGTGGTATCAACATTTTTAAAGTTTCAAATAATTTGAGACCTACAGGAAGGCTTACAAATATAACACAAAATATTTCTGTGTATTCACCTAGATTTCCCAAAATGTGAACCATGTTTACTTTATTCTCTGTGTCTGTATAATATATATAATTTCTTCTGAACTATAATTACTCTGAGACTAGTAAGTAGCAGACCTAAGGCTCCTTTAAACCTAAATATTTCATAATCTAAAACAAGGATTCCTAAAAATAAGGATATTCTTTTACATAACTGCAATTCAGTGATCAAAATCAGGAAATTAACATCATCATAGTGCTATTATCTAATTTATAGACCTTACTCAGATTTTGCCAATTGTCCCACTAATGTTTTTTATAACAAAAGAGAAAGAGGGTTTTTTTCCTAGTGTAGGATCAAATCCAGGATCCCACATTGCATCTAGCGTCACATCTCTTTAATTGCTTTTAATCTGGAACAGTACCTTAATCTTTGTCTTTCATTATCTTCTTTATACCAAAGAGGCCATTTATTTTGTAGAATATTCCTTAAGTTGGGTTTATCTGATGCTTTTTCATTAGATCAGGTTATGCATTTTGGCAGGACTAGCAGAATAGGAGATGATGTGCCTTCTTAATTAACATCAGGAGGTACATGATTCTGAATTGTCCCATGGCTTACAATGTTAATTTTGATCAGTTGATTAAGATGGTAACCCCCAGGTGACTGCACTATAAAATTACTATTTTATTTTTCCCTTTGTAATATCTTGTGGGAAAGTATTTTGAAACTGTGTAAATGGCTTGTTTCTATCAAAGTTTCACCCACTAATTTAGCATTCATTGATAATTCTTTGCATTAAATATTACTGTGGTGGTTGCCAAATGGTGTTCTCTTTCCTCATTCTTTCTACATTTATTATTTAACATTCTACTGTATGAAACAGCTTTCTCTTGTCCCTCATTTTTAATTTATTTGTTGATATGTATCATACTCTTAGAATCCTATTCTTACCAGTACTTTGGGAAAAATCAATTGGAAAATCCATCAATTCCTAACCACAGATTCACACCATCTGGTTATAATACAGCCATCCCTTTGGGATTCAGCCTAATTATAATTTTCATTTTTAAAACCCACTAAAACTAAATTTGTGTGTAATCATTTTAAATAGAGACTATAAAGTAAATTTCATAAGTGAACTTGGGAAAGAAGTATTGAGAAATATTGGGAAAGCTCCTATTTGCCTATAATCATTGAGGCTTCAAGGTAATGAAATTAAGCCTGAAAGTTTTAATAAAAATTGAAATTCTCAACAGCTTTAAAATTCATTATCCTCCCCCCAAATTCATTACCCAACTTCACTAATCCTTAAAGAAATGCAACTTAAAACCAAAATGCAATTCCATTATTCACCAACCAAAATGGCTTAAATGAAAAATAGAAAATCCCATGTGATGACAAGGATGTGGAGGAACCGACACTGCCCGTGGGAGTGCAAATTCACATTACCATTTGGAAAACCGTTTAGCAGTTTCTACTAAAATTGGATATACATACATATAATACGCAAGACCAAGCATTTCCACTTCTGAGTGCAGAAGTGCATCCATTTGTTGACCAAAATGTATACACAAGAATGTTGTCACAACACTGCTGC